AGGCTCAAGGCAAACTATACCTACCTAATGATAGCAATGGACGAACATAACAAACCATCATTTTTTCTTATTAATGCGTATTGCAGTCATGGATCATAGTGACAAAGCGTGTCATCACACTAAAGAAAATTATCTTGTAATTGCGGTGCTATTGTATCCTGCTTTACCCAGCCACGCGATATGGCAAGCGCGTGAGATCGAATATAGATACGGAAACTGAGGGCGTCTGGAGGGCCAACGACAATGGTCTTTTTTCAATCAACATAAATATGTTAGTAAATTTGTCTCTGTGAATACTTTAGCTAGACATTTACGTTATTAAGTAGCGTATTGTGTATTAAGTAGTGTTATTATAAGTAGCGTATTGTGTATTAAGTAGTGTTATAAGTAGCGTTATTAAGTAGTGTATTGTGAAAATAAGTAAAATAAAGTACCTTTATTGTGATCTTATGTTACGAAATCTTGTAGAGATTTTTGGTTTTCAGTGCAAGACGTTGAAGCACGCCCGTATACAGAAAGTAAACCATGCAGATTTTCTAACACTGATTGTAGAGACATATCTGTTCAAATTAGATTTGAACAAGTATTTATGTAAACGCGAAAACGCGTATACACAGCTTTATATATTATTTACACATCTACATTAACATACAGTCATTGTACACTGATTTGGTGCCGGAAAATAGTTAATTACTGTCATTTCATTGTGTTGTGGCACACCTAACACTATCAGTAGAAAAATATCTTAACGCTGCTGGTTGCATTTTACGCTAACACTAAACTTACCCGTACCGCGTGACAATTGATTTTATCGTTTAGGAGGTAATTCCAAAGAGTTATGTATTGGCTACTGAAAACATGCCGCATTTGAATTTTTGGCACCCCCATTTGCAAAGCTAGGGCGCTAGATCATTCATCTCAACCTTGAAGTCGATTACGACGGCTCCTTATACGGGGCACGCAACAGTAGGCCTAGTCTTGCACCAATTCATCACCCTTGAACTATTTCGTCTGTGGATAAGCCCTGCTTTTGAATTTTTATGTGTGAAAAAAATTTGGCATTAGAGTACACTAGTTTGCATTATGCACGTAAGTTAATTAGATGCCTCGCAGATTGCTGGAATGCATGATAAGTAATTTTCATATTTAAAAAGCATAAGTAAGAAAGCACACGTAAGAAAGCACATAGTAAGATTGGTATTGTCATGTAAAATGTCATTCTGTCGTGCTTATTTTATATTCGCCTATTAAGCAAATGCATCACAACGCCGCTCTCCTGCGGTGTTGTCAACTGCAGCAATCGGTATCAGAGAGAGCCACACAGCTTTTTTAGGCTGCCTAGCGATCACAACATAAGGTACAGTAAAAACCCGCGTATAAGAACATAGATTTTAAGAACCTGTTAGGCTAAAATTTCCCATTTAGATCCTTTACATAAAACCTGTTTTAGGCTAAGATTTTAAAGTAGGTTCTTAATTTCCTATGCAGATGAAGACTTAAAAAAAAACACAGGTAAAATAAAAAAGACGAGCTCAACAATACCGATGAATGTGCCAGCACCTTTTTTTGGCATGCATCTTTTTGCATATTGTTTTGTTTCCTTGGATACATACTGTATCATACAGTATGGTAAGCACTGAAAAACTTGCACTGTAGCCCATCATGGGTATTAATTAGCAAAATTGCAGTCCTTGTAAGAAATTTGATACACAATTTGAATCAAGTATAAGCTTATACATATTAAAAGTAGAAACAATTAAGAACCTATTTAAGAACCTTTTGAGCCTCATTTTTCAGTAAGCACCATTTATATAAGAACATATTGAGGCTAACTTGGAAAAATCTATGTTCTTATACGCGGGTTTTTACTGTAAAGTGACGAGAGACCAGGCGGACCACAGACGCTTGAAGCATTTTCAATAAAAAAGCAATGCTGAATAAACACGAAATGTATTTACTACCAATGTTTTAATGTTTCTCTACTCTCTTTCGCCTAGTATTGCCGATAATTACCTGTAAATGCCGCCGTCAAATGCTCCTCTGCAACACACAGGTACACCGCACGCACGGCGCACGCACGGCGCACGCCGCTACACATTTACACTTGTAATTTTATATACATAATGCCATATCGCCGGTATCCAGTAGGCAGCTGTTTGAGTGGGGGTGATGATTTCTCTTGCATGTGCAGCATACTCGATCTTCATAAAATAGCACCGAGACAACATGTGAACAGAATGCACCAAGCCCGGCTTTACAATTAGTGTGCTAGCTGACATGATGCCTGTCCCATTTATCTCATCGTGACTCATGCACGAATAGAGAGATTGTATAATCAGAGACTGGGAGTGCATATAAGACGTGTATATAAGACGTGCTCGGATAACGTAGATGGGACTCTCACTGTTCACATGTTAGATGTAGACTGATACACCACTAACCCAACCGCAGAACAGTCGATCGTAGACATCCAGGCTTTTGTGGTTCTGAAAGTCCTTGAGAGTATAAAATGGACTCGGCTAGAATGTTAGGTAATCAATTCACGAGATCCTAATAAGTACGTGGTAGGCACAATTAGTGGTCCTCGCTCCATTCTCGTAAGGGTGTCGATTCCCAATGCACGCAAATTTCTCGAGATAGCGTGCTTTGGCTACGTTGTATAGTGAATCAAAGTACTTGTCCACACTACGTACACTTCAGAGATCTTAAGACAGTTGGCAAATGTGCATACACCAGATGTTATAAAACGCTGCGTTTGATAGCTAGTATATGCAGTAAAATTGGTGAAATTTCTGAACACTCGCGATGTAAACAAACTCAAGTCCATGAACATATGTTGCGTGCAATCTCGCGACGCTAATAAGCCCTGCGACACCTGACCTGTGTAATCTCATTGAACTCTAGCTGAGCACCCCAACTTGCGCTGATAAACCTGTCCCGAAAAATCGGGATCCACCTGCTACTAATATCTATTGCAATAATAACACTATACTATATAGCTAATGTAAAATCGTTGATTGTGCAGATCGGCAGATTATATAGACTCTCGCGGCTCTTATAGTTACTCGATGGATGCATATATGGACCCATCGAGTAACTAAGCCGAGAGGTGGGAGCGGGTACCAGTCTACAGATTACACGCCACACATGTTCGCTCTGTTTGTAACCGCGGTATGGCCGGCGGCAAGGGATTGTAGGTAATAGTGCTATTTTTAGTCCAAGACGCGGAGCCTTCAGCGGATCAACATCAGGATCAACATCTCCTTTCGGCAACGCTTCTCTAGTATCCCGTCTCATCTGGTTATTGTTGGTTTAGTAATAACATGGGACGTATGTCGTATATATATACGTAGCCCTACCGCGCACCCTAACGATTACAGACAATTGCGCGTTAATATGTCACTAATAGTAGAAGCTGCGAGGAGAAATTAACTGGTTCGGATTGTGGGGCGTCCGGGTGCTTTTAAGAAGCGTATAAATAGACGCTCGGGGAGACGGAAGATAGACACAGAGTTACGGAGGTTACCTACGAGGAGACGTACGTGAGTCATTCAAGATGTAGCGACGGAAACAGGGATGACGGGACCTAGCTAGGTTGCCGTATGCATGTAGGCCTATGTATATATATATGTTGTACGTGATCGTAGTTACTAATAAAGTCATAGTTCAACAACGAAGCTGCGACTACGTCATATCTACTGGTGGTTACAAGACACTGCATGCTACTCTATCTGCTACAATCTGCTATTTGCTACAATCTATACCATTTGCTGACGAAACAACGCTGCGCTACTCTACTATATGGGGCGCCAAGTGTCGCATGACTAATTTCGTTACGAAATCAATGATTTAATTTCTAACGAAATCAAGTCTACAAAGTGATTTCGTTACGAAACCAACTACTGCGAGTAAATATTAGTGACGAAATCAGCTACTGCGAGTGATTTCGTGACAAAATCAGCTACTGCCAGTGATTTCGTTACGAAATCATATGCTACACTTGGCCAAGTGTCGCATATGACTTGATTTCGTTACAAAATTATTGATTTCGTAACGAAATCAAGTCTACAAAGTGATTTCGTTACGAAATCAACTACTGCGAGTGATTTCGTGACGAAATCAGCTACTGCGAGTTATTTCATTACAAAATCAGCTACTGCAAGTTATTTCGTTACGAAATCATGCTACACTTGGCGCGCCGGCGCGCCAGGTGTCGCATGACTTGATTTTGTTACAAAATTATTGATTTCGTAACGAAATCAAGTCTACAAAGTGATTTCGTTACGAAATCAACTACTGCGAGTGATTTCGTGACGAAATCAGCTACTGCGAATTATTTCATTACGAAATCAGCTACTGCGCGAGTTATTTCGTTACGAAATCATGCGACACTTGGCGCGCCGGTGACACTCTACCCCTCTTACTAATAACCGGCCAAAGTAAAAATAATTTTGCGCCGTGATTTCTTTCCATAATTTAATTTTTAAATTTAATTTTGTTTTTAATTCAATTTTAATTAAAAAAAATTTAATTTAATTTTTGATTATTTTTTTTAAATTTAATTTTTAATGCATTTTTTTTAATTTAATTTTTTTAAATTTTAAATTATTCACGACCAACGACCGATAGGACCAACGTGTCCTACGGTGCAGATACTAATAATGTAACGCTGCAAAGCGTTACAGGCTAGTAGAGCCACTAATTCCCCCCCCCCTGCCGACGTAGTACGGAGGAAATAGCGCATAGATATTACACGCGGCAATATGCCCCGCCTATAGGGGCCCAATTAGTGTAAAGCAATATCTACATAGATATCACTTGCGGCTAGATATTGTGCCCCGCATATAGGGGCCCAATTAGTGTAAAGCAATATCTACATAGTGCAGCGGCTTTATATCTCGATGTTAACGCGAAGGCATGGCGCATGCCTCGCGCATACGCCGATGCCAAGCCGGTTTAGTGACCTGAATCGGTTTATAATTGGCTTGTTGATGCCGCAGGTCGAGCGTCCTAGTGACTGAATCGGTTTAATAATTGGCTTGTTGACGCCGATGCCGAGCCGTCCTAGTGACCTCAATCGGTTTATAATTGGCCTGTTGACACCGATGCGGCTACCGGTGGATGCATCACGCATGCGCGCGCGGGAGTGCCTGTAAGTATAAAAGCGCGGAGCGCGGGCGGAATCGAGGAGATTAGACGGCTCCTCGTCTGAACGCAAGCGTCAGACGAGGAGGGGAGGAGAAACTCCCGACTGCTGCTCCTCGTCCGAACGTAAGGGTCAGACGAGGAGTAGGAGATAGACGGGAGAACTCCGCTCAGCAACCGGGCTACTAGCAGGCACGACCGAGGCATTGTAAACTTCACCAAATAAAAGCGTTCTAGTCATGGTAAACATCTGACGTCTATTCTTATCTATGTATTTTGGCTTCACATACATTCTACTTCATTAACTTAAAACAGTAACGTTAAAACGTGCGTTACATTTGGTGCGTGTGAGAGCGTTCGAACCTGGTTGCGCGGCTACTCCCACGGTGCTATCTAACTATACGATCACGCGCCGCCTCATCAACAATAGCATCGTGTCATCATCAACCTCATCGCAGACGATCTCATAACACCGCCGTACGATCGGCCGGGTGAGTGAAACTAGCCTTTGCCGGTTTAGATCTAAGTCTCATTATCTTTAAGTTGCCCATTGTCGTGTTAGACCATGTAATTCATTACTGTCGTCGATTTCTGACGTATGCGCGTCCTGTACAAATGTTGCGGTCATCGCGCTACGTGCATTAGTTATCGCACACCTTCGCACATACCAAGACGGCTCCACGGTCTGATAACTGATATCATAGTTGCTCGAATAACCCACCCCTATTCCCTAACCACCCGCCTGCATGGCGACAGATTATTTCACTCTCGCATTGTAAGCGAGACCGGCTCATCGAATTTCAACGGCTGAAACACAGAGCCGCCTAGCCCACAATTTTTTTAGACAGAGACACGCACAGAGACTATTGCTTCATTGCAACCCTGCTATGCCAGCTGACGCTATCGACCTTGTCGCTGACAAGGTCGTACTTGAGTCATCTCTGGTGGCACGACGACAAGGACGTAGTGACCCCTACGACATGACAGAACCTATGGACGTTAATACGATACAACGCCCAACCCCATCCGACCTTATTACAGAAGTGCGCAGCATGCGCACGTTAATTTCACAGTCCGCGCCACAGGTCCTGCCACCCTTCATGAATCAGTCATCGTTCATGCGGCTGGACGATTACGGCCATTACGGCTATGCCATTACGACCATGCGGCCATAACGGACGAGGCGGCCATTACAACGCTTAAGCGGACGCGCTTTCTCGTTTACTTCTGACGCGCCTACGCCCATGTCACCTCAATAACTCACCAATCGTCCACCACCCTCATCACCGCTTGGCAGTATGGCCTCACAACCCATACACCAAGTGGTACTGTCATCACTCGACGCTGAGGCCTCACAACCCTCACGCCGAGTAGGCCTCGCCAACATTACGCTTCATCACGAACCGCTC